GTTGAGATGTGTTTATTTATTTTTGCTGATCGAGTTTGGCCAATTTGGCAACTCTTTAAAAATCGTGTGTTGCTGCCCAGATTGAAAGTGTACCAGGACAGAGACAAGAGTGTCCCCAATCACGCTGGAAAGCAATCTCACCCTTCCTAAGCAATGCATAGGCTCTGCCCAGAAGAGGCTGCAACACGCAGCGAAATTGACATAGAAGGGCATTGGGAAATATAGACTGAATCGAGACTGCCTCAAAATGAGACAATTATAAATATGAATGATACCATTTTAGAAAACGTGTGTGAGGAACTGTATGGTGTGGCCAACACGCTGTATTCTTGGAATAAATGGGGTTGTTGTTTTTTTAATTATGTAGTTGTTTCTCATTTTACTCCTTAATTTTCCCAAATGAACCGTAGAAAAATATTAAGAGCTCTTTTAATGCAGCATCAAAAGTAAATTAGGGATTGATAACACTTGAAACAAAAATGTACCGTCAGAGAAGGGGGACAAAAAAAAATGCACCAGAATAACTTTCATTAGAATATGTAGATTTCCCCCAAAAGTTAAAAAACGCCTTTCCCCACCTGCATATACGGTATTTTATAACTATTTGGTATCTTTGTCAGTTTCATTGATCACTGGCTGAAAACACGTTGATCAGTTTCTCCTCACGGGTTGCTACGTAACGTTTGCTGTTGAATCTTGTGAAAGGAAAAATGATTCGAGCTGATAAATCGGATTGTCAAAGACGAGTCCAGATTCAGCAAGAAGCCTGGTCTAAAAAAGTCTCCTGAAGCGAAAAGTTTGAGGTTAGTTTCTTGGCTTTTGGCGCCCCCTCTGGATGAAGAAAAGAATGACATTTTACCAGCAGAAAGGTGATTGTTGACAACTGTAAAAGTTCCAAAAAAGAAACTGGAGTATGAAATGTGAGTATCAAACGCACAGAAAGCAAAGCAAACCCACTTACTGGTGCCTGACAGTGACCAAACAACATGACAACAATGAGGGTGCTTCTCCTATTTTAAACGATTTCTATCAACAGCTAAGTTTTATTTGCAGGAGCTCTGGTACATATCTAATGATCTGTGACTGCGAGATGATATAGGTATGTGTATGATATGATTGTGCATCTACATATGTTGAGGCATTAACGTGATTATTATAAGAAGAAATAATCACATGGGTATGTTTAAAACTATTTTCTTCTCTATCTTTATTACACAGTAAACTTGTTTAAGTATCACTAGTGGGTGTGCTATCTTAAAATCAGGAATAAAATTCTCAATTT